AAATAAGTTCTCCAAGTGAATGTTACACAACCTTTTTCTTCCGGTTTTTCAATTTTCTGTTCGTTTACTTTTTTGGCTTTTCCTTGGTGATAGCAAAAGATACATTTCAGGTGTATATTTAAAACCGCAATTCCAATTTATTTGGCAGCAAAAACGGTCTGACGCACTTTAATGACCGACGACAAAAAGTTGTCGATATGTTTTCATTAAAACGCGATGTTTTCGGAGAAATGCGACCATTCGTGGGTCAAAGTTGATGTAGTTTGAATCAAAGTTAATTAGTTCATTAGTCCACACACTTGGATCTCGATGAAAGGACCTTCACAGAATATATATACATATCTACATACATAAATTCTGTAAATGTAGACCCTTCAATTTTCCTAAGTAAATATTTCTTGATTCCCTTTAAGTAACTTGGAAATTGTTTAAATGTTTTCACCTCATGCACAAAAAAAAAAATGTATGCATCACTTGATGTATGTAAGCATGTATGCACATGTCTGCATTATCTAACTAACGGCCTAAAAATTTAAAATAATATTAACATACATACTATGTATACATTGTATATAGTATGGACATACATATGTTTGTATTTATGAATAACGCTAAAAGCATAAGCACATTTAAGGTACTCACAACGGTGTCGTAAGTGTCGCGTATTGTTGTATGTCGTAAACTTTAAACCCCTAAACAAATATATTAAGGGGGTTGGCAAAGTACCATCAAAGACATCGCAGTGTTGCAAAAAATAGTTAGTTGTGCTGTCAAGTTCGCTAACCATTTATTTAAGCTTTTAGAGTTTACGACATACAACAATACGACACTTGCGACACCGTTGTGAGTCCCTCAGTAGTTTTTTTTTAATTCATTGTAAATCGCTCATCACGAATGACTAGTTTTCTCTTCACATATGTATGTATGTATGTATGTATGTACTTATGTATATAAATTGTTTACATTTAGAAATTGAGACATTTATTTTCAATTTCTATTAAAATTTGTTAATGATTAACGTACATGCGCTTCTTGTCGCTAGTGAAAAAGCAAGCAATTTATTGTTAACATTTTGAATCATTTTAGAATTACTTATTACTTATGTACATATGTATTTTTTGTCTCGCCAATCCTAATGTTATGATATAGCAGACAGCCCCAGCCCCAGTATATAAGTATCACATAAGGTTTATCATGTTTCCGAATTCTCTCTGTTACTCATGGTTACCTAAGAGCTGGTTTTTATTCCATTAAATATATATATGTATGTATATATATATATATATATATATATGCATAACTAAATTTTATAACGTTAATATGTAATTTAATTTTAATTTTATCGTTTTTCAAACGCAGATCACAATAATCTTAACTTTTCATTGTCTGTGCATTTTCGTACTAATTCCAAACTGTTATATCCTTTGACTAAATGCGCCTACTCGAAAGTGCTATAGAAAATGTAGGTACAAATAAAATCGTTTAACTACTCTCATTGCTCATCATATTTGACTATCTGTGTATGCACATTGTATGTACGTAAATATTGAAATCTAAAAAATTGGCAATACCACAAAAAAAAAAAAAAAAAATTAAAATTAAAATGCATAAATAATTCGCCGATTTTATTGAGTGTAGTTACATACATAAATCATTATGCATCTGTAATAACATTTTTTAATAGTAAATAGATATGAACTTGTTGAGAGGCCTATCACACATCTTATGTAGGTCTGGTCGAATATTTAGCTCCCGAAACTATGTTTAAATGATTATTTTGACTCTTCGCGCCTATCAAGTAGTATGCACAAATGAGCCGTTCGGACCACGAAAACGCAACATTTTCAAACAAATAAGCACATACACATATGTATGTATGTATGTACATACTTACATAGATACACTCATGTACATATACACACATAAATTTAAATCTGTATGTCAACGACTCTTAACAATTCTTAGTCATAGTTCCATTCTACTCTGAGAAACTGAAAAAATGACTTATGCCACTTTCAAAATAAACGGTTCATATTTATTTACATTAGGCTGGGTCGATTCATTTATTTACTAAATCGCATGGTATTTTCGGTTTCCACAGAATAAACCATGGGTCGGAAATGAGTTTCGAGCCTGCGAATTTTCAAATGAAAAATTAACTTTTGACAAAATAAATTTTTTTGTTTCATTCTTTTTCTGTTTTATGTACAGCTTTTCTTGCAAATTTTCTATGTAAAATGTCTATATTTTAGTTTTTGGCATTTGTTTTACTTGTTTATTTGTCAATTAGTACTGTTTAAAAAAAAAATAAAAAATAAATAAATCCAATTTCAAACTTTGTGCAATATTAAAAAAAAAAAACAACAAAGTCTGGCCAAATTTCGAGCTGCTTAATTCGACTTGAGTATGCAGTTTTGTAGCCCACTCAATTCTAGTACTGGTGATTTTTGACAATTTTTTTTTTGTTTGTTCTCATTTTCCCCATTATAAAAAAATCGTCGAACATACTTTGTATGGAGGAAAAGGCACAACGCCGTTATCAAAAAGTTGCCAAAAATCAACTGCAAGTCCTAGGACTTTCACTTCATTTTGCTACAATTGAATGGTCTGCAAAGCCGTACGTTCAAAACCTTTCTAAAATATCCAAAAAATAACTGAAATTGAATAACATCAAAATAAATTGTTAAAGCTTGTCAATATGTGGTGCTTTGTGTATGGTAAATCAATTAAAAATTTTATAAACTAAAATATAGGCATTTTGTATCACATAGTTATAAGAAAAGGTGAACACCTTGTAAAACGGGCATAGCATGAAACAAATAAAATTTGGTGAAAAGATAAATTTTTCATTTTAAAATTGCGCAGGCTTGAAACTAGTTTCCCGCAAATGGTTTTTCCTACAGTTTATCTTAGAATTATCTATAGAAATCGAGAATACCATGCGATTTGTCGAAACACTTTCGCCCGAACAATTTAACCGATCCTAATGTACATACGGTTACTCCCAAAATTGTGCGTACGGCTGTTTTTTTTTGTTAATATTCGCCATATTTTACGTGCTAAAATTTTTTTGATAATTTTGTTATAAAATATGGCCTATATTTCAGCAAACTCCATTTAAATCCAAGAATGATACTGTGTAGAAAAATTAAGAAAAATCTGCAAAGTTTCAGCAAGATCACGAACTTTTTAATACGAATTTCTAAAAAGAATTCAGGTATGCAGTTTTATAGCCCATTCAATTTTAGTATAATAATGTGCAAGTTTCAGATGTTTAATTTTTTTGCTGGCTGTCCTACGCATTTTTTTTACATATAAAAAAAAAAGATCTGAAAACTTTTTGTATAAAAAAAATGCGTAGGATAGTCAATAAAAAAATACTCAACGCGATTTTTTATAGATTTGAAATTTGCACATTATTATACTAAATTTGAATGGGCTATAGAACTGCATACCTGAATTCTTTTTAGAAATTCGTATTAAAAAGTTCGCGATTTTGCTGAAACTTTGCAGATTTTTCTTAATTTTTGTACACAGTATCATTCTTGGGTTTAAATGCAGTTCGCTAAAATATAAGCCTTATTTTAATACAAAATTATCAAAAAAATTTTAGCATGTAGAGAGCCGTACGCTCAATTTTGGGAGTAACTGTGTGTATGTATGTATGTGCGTATGTACGACCTTTACTTTTTGGACGTGACCAAATTACTTTATATCCCGTTTGATCAAAAGCTGCAATATAATCATATTTGCTTATGGATGTATGTATGTATGTATGCACTCTTTATTGCACTTGCATATGCTGCTTCTTCGTAATTTGTACATACTTCAAAAATTAGTAAAAAAATTTTGTATAAATACTAATGTAACAATGTGAATGTCGTTTTTTTTTCGTCGTACTTTTGAAATGCGTCTTAGTTTTCTTTTTAATTTTAAATAACTGAGATCATTATCATTACTATTACTTTTGTATGTTACATATAATTTCTTCAGCTTTTTTCTATGCAATCAACAACATTGATAGTATAAATTCTGCTCGACCCCTACGATCAACTCCATACTCCATACAAATTCCATATCACTTTGTGCTTCAAATATCACTTCACTTCATATGTCTGCTCCTCCCATTCCCATTCTCCTTCAGTTGACAATCGTTAAAGCGACCGCCCTTACTTTACTACTAAAATATACATACATACGTACGCAACAAGTATCTATCTATGTACATATGTATGCTGACTTTTTGTAAAACTACAATATTAATTAATTGATCAATATCCTCGCAACACAACAGGTTTGTCTGTCCGCAGAGAAACCAACCATACATATGTATCTATGCATGTTCGTATAAAATTACTTTAAGCTATAGTAAAATTGTAAAAATAAATGAATGTAAAAAAAACGACTAAGTTCTCAAGATCATTTGGAAAATTACAAGACTTCTTTCTGTTCAAAAGAATTAAATCACATTCGTGCTAATTGATTAATAATGTGCTACACTTGGAGAATTTTGGAATTCCCTTTCACATGCCCCTTACATACCTGCATTTGTTTGTATGTATGTATGTGTATCTATTTACGTTTGTTTGTATGTATGCTTCATGGTTTTACGCTGCCCGCCGCACTTTGGCGCTATCGCGCTACATATCCACCATGCATCCTCTCCCACCGACCGACTAAACTATTCTGCACTACACTGTACTGCTGCTTCGCTAATAAAATATGTAGATTCGATTGCTTTGGAATGTGCTCTACGCTATCTGTGAAGAATCGGCCTCAGCATGGCGAAGCGTGCGGGATGACAATAGTGCCGCCGGATGAGATGAAAGCGCTCGATCAGGTGGTCTGCAATGGGGTTGTTTGAAATCGTGATGTGCTTTTTTAGTTGATTATGCTGCTGCTGCTGCTGATGTTGTTGTTTCTTGATTCGTATTTATCCAAGCGTTTAGTTGTTGGCGGAATATCGGTGGTGGTCATTGCGAATATCGGGGTTGATTGTATCATCGATGTTGGTGTGTGCGCATGTGCAAAACGAGGTTATGTTTATGTTTTGACTTCTTGTGGCAAATCGGGCACTCAAACTTCGGCTCAACACCGCATTCGAAGCGCATATGCCGATTTAAGCTATGCGGTCGGGCATAAGAATTACCACAGCGTTCACACGTATATGCGCCACCGAAAGAGCCCCCAGATCCTGGAGCAATGACAGCGATATGACTGCTGCCACTATTGCTAATGGCGCCCCCTCTGCCTGCTGCCACCTCGTCACTACTATTGGCACCGGTCAAAAGTGCTGAGCTGGCAGCCGCTGCTGCTGCCGAGGTAGACGGTCCTGAGGTAGCAGATGAATTAGAAGCGGCCGTAAGCGGCCCAACGCTAATAGCCCCACCTAGTGGTGATGCTACCCTATTTGAAGGCACTACTTCGGGTCCAACTCCAGCAGCAGGACCTCCGCTTGTAGCTGTGCTGGTGCTGGTGCTGTAACGACGGGTTGGTGTAATCGAGCGCGGTTGCGCCGAAGCTTGACTTGGTAACTGGGCGTGTGTATGGGGTGTATGCGGATGCGGAAAATTAATCAGGGACGGGAGGTGGGTTGGGGGTGCGGCAGCCATTGTTTGCAACGCAGCTTGTTGAATACCTGAAGGGCTCGTGACTGATCCACCGCTTATTACGGCTGCTGCCGCCTGTTGCAGCGCCATTGACACAAGATTCATCCGAAAAGAGCTCAAGCGAAGATCACACGGCTGCTCATCATCCGCGCCTTCGACTGGGAGAATAGCTGTGCTGTCACCCGTAATACCAACGGAAATCGTGCCACTTTGACTTCCTATCCCAAGGCTGGCCACGCCTGATAATTCATCTTCGTTGTCGTCGATAGATGGCGCCGGTTCGTACTTTATGACAGGCGTACAAACAGGACTACTAGGCGGGCTGGTCTTCACACGCAAGTTGCGACGTAGTTGCGAGCCGGTGTCCATGAATCTGGCCGAGCTTGGCACATTAGCTTTGTCTGGCCGCCGGCGACAAAGAAGTTAAGAAGGATCAATATCAAGATCAAAGAAACGCGCGGCCACGTTAGAAGTCAAAAAGAGAAGTAATAAAAAAGAAAAAAGAAAATTAATATTGATTGTTTATATTTTGAAGGTAATAATTTAGTTCCATTAACATTAGCTAGTTTCCGTAAGAATTGCAGCCCTTTTTTGTTTACTAACTATGTATGTTTAGTCATTAATTTTTGTGCTGCTTTTTGAATAGTCTGGGGACAGTAATTAAATGCGCTTACACAAAACTGCAAATGAATTATATGAAATTGCTAACAAATGCTTGCTGCGTGGTGAATAAACAAATTAATAATTACCACACAAGCTTTGCACATAATATAGTATATTTACAAATAAGTGACTTGCTAATTATGGTTACATACATACATAAGTGGCGAATGTGGTGGTGGTTGTGGTGATGTTGGCGAGTGTTGATGATAGATATGCTTTCGCGTTTGGCATGATGATGGACGTCTTTTGAATTTAGGCGCGTGCTTTTTTATCAAATTGTATCCAAATCAGATGGTAAAGGGGTTTGAATGAGTACATCCGGATGTACATATATGTATATATGTATGTATGCATGAAAAATTGCGTATTTATGCAATCTGTGTAAAGTCTTAAAGCTGGTGATGGCGCGGAAGAGTATGGCTTTATATAATGTACATACATATTTATGTATATATGTATGTATATGTATGTATGAGTGCCGCATAAATCAGCCAATTAATTATAGTCTGGCTATGGAAATTTGCGCCCACTGTGTCATTTAATTTTAAAAAGTTTAGTTTAGTACGTACATACATACATATTACGTACATACGCACATACATACATATGTATATGTAGTATTGCAATGTGTTTGTTATATATAAAAAAATTAGTGACATTGTGCAGCGTATAACATAAACCGCCTATAGTATATAGCACAAGTAAATTTCACTCCATATTTATATTATATAAAGTTACACTATATGACAAAAGAAAAGATTCCCACATAAAATTCAACTGGTAAAGTTAAGCAAAACTGCATACACCGAATTTTCAAAGGCCCCTAAAATCCAGACTAACTAAAAAAAACACACGTTTTTTTATAGGGTGAAGCAGTTACTACATGGTACATGGTTGGTAACGTTATTTCTATTTAAATCAAAGTCAAGGCCCAACTAATGGTGCCATACCATAGCCGTAACTGTAATCTTATCAACTAGTTGTACTGATTAAACATATGGGCAGTTCTGTGAACGCCCTAACCATAGGCAGAGCTTTGTAGTATTTTACAAAGTTATGCCTTTAATATTATGGCTATGGCAACCCTAATTGGGCCTTAAGTTCTACAAGTCAATGCAAAGAGGTCGTTTACGGGGAGACATAAATTGCCCTTATTAAGTCAAAATATCATGAAATGAACGAATCTTTAACAAATTTTTTATATATAATAGGTTTTTAACACAGATTTTTATTGGAATAAATTTTATTTTCAACGAGCAAAAAACACAAACACAAATAAAAATTGGAATGGGTTCACTAAGTTGGGTAGTCAGTTTCTCCATAAAGAAGCCAAGCAAATTTGTTAAATTTGTTTTGTTTTTTTTTTGGTTAAAAGTTCAGATTTTGAGAGAATTCGCTTTTCCTCTTTACTAAGGCTGAAATTTGATATATGTATCTACATAAATACTACATACATACATATGCCTCGCGTAAACTATATTTGAACAGTCACAGCAATAAATATCTGCACAGGGTATTTTTTTTTTTTTTTTGCAATACATAACGTAACGGAAATACTGTCTTTATTAACTGGGTGCAAGAATTTATAAACAATTAGGATATATTTTTTTCAGTATTTTGAAGTCTGTGCATCTACTTTCGCGAATGTTTTCTTCCGAAATTTACCGGAATGCTTTTGCTACATACATGAACAATTTGTCTTCGCACAAAGTAGATAGTTAATATGCAAAAGTAATAAAAAGAGTACACATGCATTTAAACGTTAATTACGATCTTTAGTTATGTTTAAGCTAGTTAATTTAAATTTTTATTATATTTTACAACGGAACGCAAATACATATGTATACGTAATATACGAGAAGTTTCAATACAAATATACTATGTACTTAAATAATAAAAAACAGGTACATTTAGGTTGTGAATAAAATTCACAAGCAAATCTATTTGAAGAAAAAGAAAAACTTCTTCAGATAGCAAATAATACGAGTATGTACATACATAAGTTAACGGTTTCGAACTTCACAAAACAATATTATTGAACAAATACGAGTAAAATACTGTGATATATGCTACGGAAAAATGTTATATAAAATATAGATAGCTCCTTTCACTCTGCTCTGGTCCAAAACGATCCCTAACACCTTTGATGTTCTTTCTTGTTGATGATGGAGGCGAAGGCGACGAAAAGAAAACTCCGAGCCTGGAGTCGTCCTATTTTTTAAAAGAGATAAATACATAAATATAAATCTTAGATTTGGAAATAGATGTGAGTTATTTATCTGAATATGTATGTATATGTTTTTCGTACGTATAGGAGTACGTATTTTCATAGCGGTTTGGACTGTGTTACTCAAGTTCTTCTTCGATAACATCCTGCGCTCTGGCCAAATGGACCTAAAAGAGAAAACTGGTTAGTGAAAGGTCAACAAATGCACATTGCACTTAGAATAATGAATAATTGGTGTCTTGATGATAGCTGTAATGAGTGAACCCCGGGCGGGGGTTGAATATGCAATAATCGTTGATGTAAGTACAATATAAAAATAAACATACATATGTTATACTTTGGAACCAGCCATAAAGGGCAATCAAATCAATCAATAAAATAGCAACTTTTTTACATTGCTTCTTAGATTTCTTCAAATGTGTTTTATTAGTAATTTTATTCTTGGGTGTACAGATTTTATGCTCTCTTCTATGTTAGCCATTTAGAGATAAATTATAAATATATGTATTTATTTATGTAAAATATGTATGTATGTACTTAAGCGATGATGATTCATTGAGTATACCATACATACAAATGTACATATGTTACTTAAAATCTTCGCCAGTTTTCTTAAATGTGTTCAGGTGTGTGTTCACTTGTGTATTTTTTTTAATAATATTGAGTTATTGCATTTACAAAGTTTTCCTTTTTTTTACAATATTGCAACTATACCAGTTATTGTTTAAAGAAGCTTAACTATATATGTATGTATGTATTTACGTATGCATGTGCGCTGCGTCGTCAGCGATATAGTACCAAAGAACTAGCATTTCAAATACATACAAATAAGTGAACAATAAATACACATTTATGCAGTCATGTATTTTTCATGAATATACATACATATGTATATGTATATGTAATAATTATGTAAGTAAGTCTACATTCCTTTACGCTAAAAAAAAAAACATCACTTTTCGAAAATCATTCTTTTTAATGGATATCAAATAAATATTAAACTAAAATGGCAGCAACAAATAAATTGCAATATTAATGCCGTACGCTAAAATAAATATCTATTTGTAATTAAATTTTCTACGACTTCAAATCATTATTTGACTAGAAAAGGTTTCATTAATGACTTTTGTTGTCATACTTCGCATTAACGGTACATATACATAGACTGTTAGAAATACTTTCCCATAACCGAAAAATGCGTGCTACTATTTTTTCAATTTCAATTTATATAAATACGAATATTTACGCAATTGAATTACTAACACTGTGAAACAATTTTAAAGTTTTCCTTTAGGGCCTCTGCGTATTAGTGCGCAACGGTAGTTGTCGCTGCGAGGGTTAAAGCCTATCCATTTTCTGGCCACAAATTAATATGATTTTATGCATAAGCTGATCGCAAACATAAGTTTTGTCTTCGGAAACCTACACATCGACGGTTGAAGATTGACCCATCTCGGCAGCAGGTCTCGAAAATGCCCCCTATCTCAGAAAACAGGGCGTAAATCAAGTTTTTTTTTGTTCAAAGACAAAAGATTTCAAACATAATTATTATCTTCAAAAACCTGTACTTAGTAAAATTTAGTGCGCAATAAATATTATTTTAACTTTTACTTCTACCGTTTGTGTGTATTTTTCACAATTTTTTGTAAAAGTTAGTAAAAGTTGGCGGGTTAAATGCTCTCCAAAAGTATTAATTATTTTAAGTGGGAGTCGCCGAAGAAAGAAAAATCTGATGGTTAAGGATACATCTACAATTTTTAATGAACTTCCTCATGAAAGTGTAAAAACCCCAATACTGGGAAGAGTTCAAGAGTAAAAAAAGTATTTTCATGATATAATTTAGATAAAGACCCTGAAACTTTCTGCTTAACAATTTTATGGAAAATGGAAACGTTATAACTGCTATTTTTAATGAACTTACATGGAACTCCTTCGAAAATAAGGGTAAAAAGGAACCATTACGGCAGGAATTAATGAGTAAAATTTTCCTCGAAAAATTGCTTATTAAATTCTACTTATGTATGTGTAGGTCTCAGAAGACATGATTTATGGTCCAAAAGTGTAGACTTTAACCCACTGTAAATAAAAAATGATGAGGTGGAGAAAAGTTCTTTTGGGATTTGACCATACCGACATTTGGGCATTATTTCGTTGAGGCCCTAAGGCAACACAGTGCAATAACAATACTAATACTATGTAATTGAATAATAAAAAAAAACAGGTATAAATATGTATACATATGCACTCCCTATATATGTATTTATGCATGAACGTTTACAATCATATTTTATATGGTCCGTTCGTTCACTTTGACTAGCATCGGTCCAAACTGGACAATAAATTATATTCGTATGTATGTATATGCGCGTGTACATATGTATGTATGCATGTGGAAATAAAGAGAGCCCAAAGGAAATTCTTGGATTTGTTATAAGCATTAGCTACGGATGTTGAATCCTTTAGGCCATGATTCACAATCCTTCTAGACGCATATATATATACGACGGATTAATGTATTTAAAAAAAAAAAAAACAGAAAAAAAAACAAGTTTTCAGTGCGTGTGCGCAATCGAAGCTTATTCGTTTTGTTGGAAAACGAGCGTGTATGTGGTATTGATCTTTTGGTCTTCGTCTATGCGATCGCGACATTTGGTGTTCAAGTGACGTTTCAAGTTACTGTGCACATTTGTGGCGTATCCGCAGAGTTTGCTGCAGAAGTAGCGCGGCGGTTGGCCGCACTCATTTTTCAAATGGCATTTAAGACTATTTTTCCACTTGTAATTACGGTTGCAGTTGCGGCATACCCATGGCTTTTCGATATCGGCATTGTAAATCATATCTTCTGAGTGCTCGAGCGATTCCTTTCTCATGCGTTGATTCTGTACAAGAATGCGATATCGTTTGTCATCGGAAACGGATGATTTGAAATCAGCTGCTTTGGCGGTGTTGCCTGCATTCGAGTTCAGCTTTGCATTCGGCTCGGCCCCGCCGCCTATTCCTCCGACTCCGCCACCGCCGGTTGCATTGTCGGTACAAATCTGATCGTTGACGCCATTGCTGTTATCTTGGTTTGTTGCTGATGCTGTTGTCGTTGTTGTTGTTGTTACTGAAGTGATTGTTGCGGGAATAGAAGCTAATTTGAACTGCAAAGTTTGCTGAGTCGGTCGCAGTTGCAGGTGTTGGAGATGTTGTTGTTGCTCTAAAAGTAACTGTTGTTGCTGCTGCTGCTGTTGCTGTTGCTGCTGTTGCTGTTGCTGTTGCTGCTGTTGCTGTTGCTGCTGCTGCTGCTGCTGCTTTGATTCTAAATCTGACTCCCTATTCTCGCCTAGTGATCGCCTCTTGCAGGTTGCACGTTGGCTGGCCGTGAAACGTACATTGCTTGGGCGAGACGCCGATCCGTCCTCCTTTGTGGCAGGCATTGCAGAAGATTCCGTTGACGTTATTGTAATTTGACTAGGCGAGCAGACTGCAGCTTGTTTCGTTGTTGCGGCTGCAGTCGTTAGCAAATCGTCTTCATCCTCGGTGTTGGTTGTGTCATGCCCACCGGATAGTATGTCTTCGAACTCTTCTTCATTTTCAATTTTCACTGTATCGAAAGCCCAAGACATTGGGCTCGACAACTTGAGATCATAGTTGAAATCTGGTTCTTTTCCATCAGAGCTTTCTTGCTGCTCTTCTTCGCCTTCGCCGTCGCCGTCGCCAATCTCTTCAGGCTCCGCATCAACGTCTTCGTCTTCTTCTTGAGTTGAAGATGACGAATTCTCTATTTTCACCAGCACCTCGGTCATACTCTCATCCACAGATTCCAGCTCAACTCCCGCAGCCGCCAGAGCAGCCGCCGATATCACACCCATACTGCCATTGTTTAGCAAATTCATTTCTCCATCATCACCTCGTACGGCGGGTGCTACGCACGCAATAGTGGTGCGTCCTATACTACCAATGCGCATTAAGGTCGGTTGCTGCGGGGCCGATGTAGTAGATGTCGATGCTGCTACAGCTGCTACTGCTGCTGATTGTGCCACAACAGCGCTGCTTGCTAACATTGGCGCTATCGCCGCGGACGCTGCTATTTGGCATTGCGTGCTGGCATTTTCGCTACACATTCCAACAGATGTTACGGTGTTAGTGTCCGCTTTAGCGACTGTGGTTAGTGATTTGTCTGACGGTTAGTTTGGGTGAAAATTTAGTTTATTGTGTGTGTTTGAAAGCAATGTCAAAATGCCGCGTGAAAAAGAAAGGGAGACATAAGTTTGGTTAGTATGAATGCAATATTATTCGAGTCAGGTTAAATGGATTAGCTCAATCGATAGAACAACTAAAGGAATATGGACCGCATTTGAGAGATGTGACGGTGCCAAATAAAAATGCAATCAGATCGGAAGTTTAAAAACGAAAAAAGCGAAAAATTAGTATCGTTGTAACAAACGAAATAAAAACTGCAAAGAGAGAAAAAATCAACGATAAAAACTAATAATAAAAAGTTGAATTTAATCAATAATGGTGTACGTATATAAATAATAAATATTTTGCGTAGAAGCATACATTCTTACATTTGGCAGTGCCCAGTGGGAAAATAGGGAATGCATTACATTTTCATACCACCAAAAGATTAACGATTACGTTTGAACGAAAAGATGCATAGCAATGGAAGCGAGCGGGTAATGTGTAGCCGAAAATTTGAAGCCGTAACAGTTTTGAAGCCACAAGCAAAGCTAAAAGTTTGAGAACAACTTTAAGTCGGCATTATCGCGAATTCCATCCGAACAAATGTTCCCAAAAATCATAAAAGCAAAAAAAAAATTACGTTTTTCCCTATTTGTTTTTATTTTACCCGTTAAATTATGGGAACCATTAATTCACATGAAAATGGCGATAAGGCTGAATGCGTACTATTTTTCGCACGCTAACTTAATAGCTGCTGTAGCCGAATGGTAGCGTGTTTGACTACCAACTTGTTCGTCGAGGGTTCATTCAAAACCTGTGGCTCTGACGCCCTTCTTCTCCTTTTCTCTATTTATAGTTTCACGTATAAAAAGCGACACGCCCTACACGCTTTACTTCCCTTCGGCTATAAGGACGATACATTACTTTACACATTACCAAACATTCAATTTTCCCACTGAGTTATGTATATGTATGAGTGCATGCAGTATGCAAAATGTAGGAGAAAAATTAAAAATTGCATGGAGTGGAGTTAATATACATACCCTGCAGTAAAACCTACTAGTTATGGACTAGGATACTACCAGTTTGCTTCTCAGGAAGGCAAGCTCAAAGTCAGTGTTTTGTTATTTCATTACCCTGCACCATAGTGAAATTATAAACAGGTGAAGTAATGAAACAGCTTTCTCGCGAGATATTTATCGAATATAAAAAATATCTATATCATCTATCTTTTCACAAAGAACACTACTCTAAGACACTCTTCAAAGGATAGCAACTATTGAAGTCTTTGTAGAATTTAATGGTACCTCAGAGGGGGTCCCATACTAATTTGGTTTAGATCCGAGCATTATAAGAACGGTACTCTTAAATTTTTTTCTATGAGAACTGAAGTGGGTTTGGTTAACTGCTTAAAAATTACATGTTCATTGAAAAAATACCTACATGCATATGTACATACTTTATGCAAATATAACTGATATTTCTTTTGAGAACTTATAGTTGATTTCCACCAAGCCTTAACTGTGCAGTTTATGTCTATTGTTAAAAGGAGATTACAACAGCAGAAGCAAACGAAAGGAAAAAAAATAAAAATTAAAAAATAAACCTATATTAAAATTCTTGGTACCTATGTATCTGAGCTCTTAACTGCAGTTAAGCCTTTGGTTGAAATAGGCTATTAGATGCATTAAGTTAAATATGTTTAGGCTTTCTTCCGTTAACGAATTGGGGAGACCTCCTCACGCTTGCTTCCGTTACGGACAAATTGTAGATTTAATTCTAAAAATCTTCATCGCCACCAATCGGACGCAAACCTGCCATCTCAAAACCAGAAGCAATGTGCGGCCGATAATCGCAAGAAGACCAATTTATTAAATAGGTTTTCGTTTCAGCTTTGACAAATTTCGCTAGCCGCACAACAGAAATTGGTTCGAAATTGGCAAACTGGCAGCAGACACTCTAGCTAAGGCTAGTCAATAAACTAGTAGGTTTCTACCAGTTGATCTATTACGACTGTTTATTAACTGGTTTGGCTTTTCACTGCAGGGCACATACAGTGGGGAGCAGTGTTGAATGCATGGTGATTTTTGTTAAATATTTGCAAGGTTTTTAAAGCTAAAATTTGTGGTTATTTTTTCATAAAAATATGGTTCATGCTTTAAACAAAATCATATAAAAGAAATTTTCAAACTTTACACAGAACATACATAAATTTCATTAAATTTTCGAGTTTTTTAATTAGATTTTTTAGAATTTTATTTAATTACGTGTGGTATAGATCGTAATATTGATACCATACTACGATGTGTGACTCTAGCATAAGTTCTGTATAATGTCTGAATTATAAGTTTGATTTATATGGTTTTGGTGTAAGCATGAACCACATTTTTATGAAAAAATAACAAAACAAATTTTAACTTTAAAAATCTTGCAAATATTTAACAAAAATCGCCATTCAGTCGTCACTGAGTAAGTGCATATACAATTATAGAAGCAATTATTTTTTCAAATTTTCGGCCCGTTAATGAACTTTAGGAAAAAAATTATAATGCCTGTTTAACGGCCCTTTATGTACATGCATTAACTCAAAGTTTCAAATGTATTTTGTAAAGAATGAAAATTTCGGACGGTCAAAATCAGCTGATACACGCTATGAATCAGTAGAAAATAAATAATTACTGAATTCATGTAAAAAAAAAGTTAATAACAATAACTCTTGTAAAACTTAGAATTTTGCAAAATTACTCAAATTATAATTTTTGTTTATGGTTGTAAACTGAATAAATGAAAACATTTTGACTTCCAAATTTAGGTGGCCCACTTGAGAAGTTTTCACGCAAAACATTTGAATAATAAATTGCAATCAAAAACCAAATTTCCTTAGTTGATTTTACAATTCCGCTCGGTAGGTAAGGATCATAACATCGAAACAGGATAAAGTTTAAAATTTCGCGATGATAATATCGAAATTACCCAATTAATATTCAGCGATTGGACAAAGTAGTGTACTTTTTGAATGTTTTAACCATTTAGTTTATTTACCGAACGAAGAAACGGAAGGGAAAAATGAACTTCCCACATGCGATGTACATGTCGTAGATTTTTAAAATTTAATTTAAATAAATAAACCTGGGCTCGAACCCAGGCCCTGAGGAATGGTAGCGCGCTGCTAACAACTACACCACAGCGGCCGACGATGGAACGTAATAACCAACGATAAAGAGTAGATACTGTATTTTCCACCAGGATTACGTTTCAGTTCAGTTCAGGCTTCATCAATCAAGAGATTGTACCATGGAGCATAAAATACGTGGAAAGTCATGATTCTCAAAAAGGCCGTTGAAAATAACTAGTTCGGGCCAATTCAGAAAACAGGCATAACTGAGGATGAAGCAGTAAATTTTCGTCTACAGTTATGTATGTATGTATGTATGTACTAGAAAAAGTTAAAAGTTTTTGATTGCAGCGTTTATTCGCGGATTAAAAAGAAAAAATAGATTTTGTCCCTTGATTTAATGAATGTCAACAAAGGCCGTTAAAACGGCTACTAAATTTTTTCCTGAATTTCCTTAACTTGCCGGAAACTCGAAAAAGTAAATGCATCTCCAGTTATACTCCGCAGTGTATGTATGTAAATAATAACGCGCGTAGCCGAATCTCATAAATAACAGAAACTTAGAAGAATATATTAAAGTGTAAATACCTGGATGCGGATCTGTTGTCTTCTGTAGTATAGACTGATCGGCGAGCATAAGCCAGTCGCGGACACGGATACGGGACTCGCATTGGGACTGAGTTTGCGCATCAGAGCTGTAGACAGTGGACGTCGCTGTGAGTGGAGTACCAGGCAGGCATGTCGACATTGTTGCGTTTTTGGAAGCCATCTGCAACACCCCGTCTGTAAGTACAACAACAGCTAAGTGTATTAGTAAAAGGAATTACAACAATAATCACGTGTCCAAATGATTGTGGAGTTTGTTTTTTTTTTTTTTTAATCGCTTTAGGCAGAGTTTTTAAGCAAACTCAGATTAAAGTCGTTTAAATTAAGAAAAACAAAAATTTTTAGAGAAAATCTTAAGAGAAAACAAAAAAGAGAAAAACGGATATACATACATATGTACATACATATGTATTTATGTATACATACATATGTATGTATGTATGTACTTACTTTCAAAATACAAACTACAACAAAATACGTACATGTCAACAAATTTTGCTAAAAATGCTGTAAAACAAAAGTAAAAAGAGTCTGCTAACAAAAAAAAAAAATGAGGACAAACGTCCGACTTATGTACATATGTAATTGCGATGAAAGTACTTAAACTCATTCAATCTTTGTTTTTACGAAATACATTTTTTATTTTCATTCTGCTGGATTTTCCATTTAAAGAACTTATTTATACAAAATATCTTTTTACTTTATAAGATAAACTAAGAACAAACTAAAATTCAGTGTAACCGATTCGTTGCATTTTTTTTTTTACCTAAAATTTTAAGCTCGATTCACCGCTTATCATTCATTGATCGCACTGAATTCTAATTTGCATTGCAATTCATTACATTGTATAACATTATGAGTATTTTTCATAGTTTCGTAAAATTATTCTGCCTAAAATCTAATTATTTTCATTATGGCTAAGCATATTGTATCTGTCTTTTTTTCGTACGTCATTTTCGATGATTTGCTTTGCAAAATCCAAATAAAAAACATATATGTATATTAACAAAAGTAAATAATGCGTTTATGTTAAGGAAAATATAAATTTTTTCATTTGTGTTAAGATAATTTAAAATTTTAACGTTTAAGGTCCTCTTGGTTTTCATTACTTCGTTCACAAGTATCCCGACACCAATTTATCTTAAAGAGCCAATCACTATTTCAAAAAAAAAAAAATATGCACAATATTTTTTGTTAAAAAACAGTTCGCGCGATTATTTGTAGCAAAACACCGCGGATTTAAAAATAATAATTTTTTGAGTTTGATATGTGCCATCACTCATAATTTTGTTATTTTTTTATGTTTATCATAATTTTGTTTAGAGCGATCCTTTGTCTCGCTGGGAAAAAAAAAAACAAAAAAAAATAATAATTACCCTTCATTTTATCTTCGACTCGCTTATAAGTCCGTGTATGTGCATTTGAAGTATGCCTTTTCTGAGGTATGTATTTGTTAAATTTTATATTTATACTTAAATATTTTCTAGCAAAAGTTTGCTTTCGCTTAAACTCAAAGTTATTAATATACATACATTCCTATAAAATATCGTGTATGACTATATCTATATAATTTAAAATGCGGAATAAGGTTATGTTTTGTGACCACATGTCGACACATATGTACATGGATGTACTAGTTTTTCCTGTTCGAATAAAAAAGTGCTTGCCAATAGCCTAATGATAGTACGAGTATCAAGCTCTGCTTGAAAGCACTATCAACCAAAATTGCTAAAATGACACTGACTTACATAAATCTCTGACCTTTTTAATATAACAAAAACACACACATTAAAACACACATGGAAAACAATTCCGGTGTCCGAACACCGAATTTATAATAAAACAATTTGTCTCACTGGCACAAAGCATATGTTCATATGTATGTGTGTGTGTGTGTACATATGTATATAATATACAATGTCTACTACTTCAACGATAAACACATTAGTTTTGAAAGTATGTATGTAATTAATTTCAAGAATCGCTTCAACTAAGTACCTGAGTTCTATGTACATACATATATTCGTTGTTATATTTCATATGTATGTATACATACATATATGTATGCATGTCTCTCGCTCATCATTTCTTTCTTATTTTAATGCTATTTATTAATATAAACTAATTTTCTTTCTATTTGTGTAAAAAGAGTTACTACGCACATTTAACTAAGAAATATACATACATATCGTTACCTTAATATAGAAAGGCCAAAAACACAGTTTGAAAATTTAAATTTAAGTGCTGGTTTAAGATTTGTTTTCAATTTCTATTAGATATGTATGTATGTATATCGTGAGCTATTTGACATATATTTTGTATAAATCTGGAATCGAAATGCAAAATGAGTTAGGGCCTTTCTATATTAAGCTAACGATATGAAATAAATGTATGTACAATATACATACATACATATGTATGTATAGGAAGAATGTTGGGAAAATAAATATGCATGCATATGTACATACATACAATACATAAATTGCTTTTAATTCTATGAATAAGTTATTATTTATGACTCATCAAAACATATAAAACATATGACTTCACAATAACCGATAAACCTGCGTCTAACTAATAAATTTGTTAAAAATATGTACAAATTTGTTAAATCTATATAGAGTATAAATTTGTATAATTCCTGTCTGTATGATCTGCTTCTAACAGACATATCCATTAATAAAAACTATGCATAGTTTACGGTGGAAGAACAAATAAAATCAGATCGTTTCGAAGGGCCTGTTACGGAGCATCTTTTTCAAGACGATGATAAAAATTTCGGTTCTCTTCTCGAAAAAAAAAAAATCAAAATTAATTTAAATTAATTTAAAATAAACTGTCAAGCACGATAAAAAAAATATAATATGTATTACTAAACTATTAAACGGTCTTGTGCATTATACATATGTATGTATGTATGTATGTACTTGTGTATTTACTGGCGGTTATACATGACTGAGGTAAATTGTTATAAAACTACAACTATGCCTATGTGTATGTGCGTGTTTATCCTACAAATTACTGAATGCATTGAAACCTAAGTAAACATAGGCCAAACTGATTTTAACTAGCCGAGATTGGCTTTGTATATATGCATACATTTTATTCAATTTTTAATGGAATGTCGTCGTCCCTTATCACAAACAAATTACCTTTCCGTGTCAAGTATTAAATAATAAATTAACGTTTCACTGAGTTTTTGTCCTTAAATGTATGTATGTCTTTTTATCCTAGTTACATACGCACATTTGCATGTATGTACATATATAGTACATATATATGTATGTACATACATTTTTTACATTTCGCACATTTGCTGGAAAATTGGTAATTCGAGAAAAGCGGCTGCTAAGTTTTAAATTTATAAACAAAACGTATAAAATCGACACCTAAGTAGAAGATCGGCCAATCCCTGCAGCCAGTTCGAAAACGCCCTAGCTCAGAAATTTTTCAAGGGCGCACTTTTTCAGAATTTTTTTGAAGAATGCCCTATCTCAGCTGCCGATTGAAAAAGGTCCTATCTCAGCACATTTTCACATATGATTTTCAGCTGAGATAGGGCGTTTTGAACCTAATTCTATAGATAGGGTGTTTAACAAATAAAATTCTGAAATAGGCATTCTTCGAATCGAATTCTGAAGTATGGCGTTCTTGAAATGTTTTCGATCGAGATAGGTCGATCTTCCACTCAGGTGTGTCGAAATAGATTAGACACTTTCATTTGTTTGGCCAGAGAAATATTATTCATTATGAATGTACTTAGATGAGAATTTATACATAAAATGTACAGATTCCGTACATAAAAGAAGAGCTACGCGATTAACTCGAAACAAATAAAATACAAATTTGGATTTATCCACTTCCAACAAACGCGCAATATGTACATATGTATGTACATATCGTCGTTTAAAGCACAAAACCACGTATCGTCTTTCTGCAAAACAGCGTAACTCACATTTGCTGCCAGACAGAAGCTCTTGGCTCAATCCTTATCCATTGGTCCTCAAAAATATACTAGCCAGAAATGCGATGCGATTGCTTTATAAAAAAGAGAACCATTTTGAAATATTAGTGTTTTTACTCACTCAAGAAAATAATTTATGCAACCTCACTTACGCGGTTTTGCTTTTTGTTGATTCGCGGTTTCGTACTTTAAAGGACGATATACATATGTATCTGTTGGGAATGTCTGGTTATGTCCAAGGGTTGGACTGTCTTTTAAATAATAAGCATTAGGGAATGTTTTTAGATCTGTAAATATGCATGCATCTTGTGTGTAAGTATGTACATATGTACATGTGACATATGTGGCATACATATGTATCTTACTTAAATTTACTTATTTGGAGCATTACATAATGTCGTTTTCAAGGACTGCTGTTTTGCTGCTTTAAGCTTTGAGTGGAATTAATTTGCTCTTATTCTTATCTACAAACTTTCATATATAAAATTAATGTATGTATGTATGTATGTATGTAATACAAAAAATGCTTCATTTTCCATGACAGAAAACATGGAAACAAACCTGATATTCAACTGAATTTGTACTATCACAGTGACTGCAGCACCTGAGTACACCTGAGCATTTTTTCTGCAAACATTCCTGTCTTTTATGTATTTATTTATGTAAAACTGTATGCATGTACATATATGCACACATTTATATGTACATATGTTGTACATACAAAAGTGTATATGAAGGCAAATATAATAACAACATGAAATGCAACATTTCACTAAAGTTTTGTAAAACAGACTGTTACAACTTTAAACATAAATGTACAAATGTACGTATGTACATATGTATGAATGTATATTCCGGTATGTATGTATGTACATACATAGAGTTGTAATAGAAAAAATCTTACTTAGTAAAAAGTTTGTTTTCGTAAAGAAGGTGCAAGAAGGTGTATTATTACATAGATTTGTTTGTAGCTGTTATCAGCTAATAAATATCGAACTTCTTAATGGCAAATTTATATTCCAAGGATTCTGGACTTTTCTAGTCCGAAATCTCTAATTCACTGTCACAGCTGTTAGATTAGAAATGTAACGACTCTCCGTTGAATAATCATTAAAAGGTGCTTTTAAAAACTACGCGAAAAATAAAAATACAAAAAAATTTGGCACTCTAGTTCCATGTTTACTTTCACTGTACTCAACAACATACGACGATCTGTGTTGAGTCTTACAAAAAAAAAATCGATCTGTTTGTAAACCCTCGCTTAGTGTTATTAAAGTGTTGTTTCATATGGCTCTGCGTTATCTATCTCATTATTTTTTATTGAGCTAAGAAAAATTCGGACGCAGTTCACTGGGCGCTGTGGACGATAGAGCTGCAGCTGGGGCACTGCCGCTGTCGTCGCCACTGCCGCCTGTGAAGCTCTTTAAGTCCTCCAGTTTTATGAACTTTTCTTTGTGCATTCGTTCCATGTGGCGACCGATATGCATTTTCTGTTTAGCACGATATACACAGAATGGACATTGGAATTGTGGCTCCTTTCCGCATTCCCACTTTTGGTGGTTACGCAGCGATGACTTTAGCTTGTATACACGACCACAGTCCGGGCAGGGGTGGCCACTACCACTGCCGCCGCCGCCGCCGCCGCCGCCGCCGCCACCTAACCCACCCCCCGCACTACTAGCTGCCGCCGATCCGCCTATTCCATTGCCTCCGGCACCAATGAGGCTGTTCAGGGCGCTGATATTGCTTAATATGTTGATATTGCAAAGTCCGCTGGCGCCCCCCACATCTGCAAAGGCAGCTGCTCCACTTAGTGCTGAATGGTACTCGCCACTCGTACTGATTAGACTACTGCCGCCGGCATTAGTATTATCCTCATGGAAGCTGGTATCACTGAGATTGCCACTGTTGTTGGCGCTTGCCTTCTCCGCAGATGCTTTCAACATCAAGAGAGCAGCTTCCTCTTCGGTTAAATGCTTCATTTTTACACTGTTCTGTTTCTCGGCAACCACGGCGGCATTCGTTATGGAGCCAGAGCTGCTATTCAAAGTGACATTCGACGCGTTCGCTTCGTTGGGAGCAGCGCCGCCCGCAATGCTGCTCAATTCGCTCGATGTGTCCGGAGCCGGCGACTTGCAATCCAGTGATGTCGTTCCACCAATAGCACCGCTACCTTTGTCCACTGTATTCAGTGAGAGATCGGTGGGGAAAACTAGTGGGTGTGAACCTTCACGTAACTGTGTGACCAGAGGCATTGCCAAACGAGCATTCCACTCGTTCCAAGTTAGGCCAGCAATACGTGTAATACTTAAATCTGGTACCATGTCGTGCAAGCGATTGCAAAGTGATGTTGTTGTTGTTATTCAATACAGGCGTTTCGAATTTTAAATATTTGTCACGGATTGCGTTGTGGTATTTTGCAGTTCATTTATTGATTTGGTGATTTGGTGATTTGGTAGTTTCGAAGAGTGGTGAATGTGTGTTACAATTGCCGGTGGCGGTCAAAGGAGTGAAAGTTAACGTGTTTTTGTTGTCAAAACATATGAAAATAAAAAGGAAAAGAAATAAAAAAGAAAAGGGAAAGAAAAAATAATGTTAAGATTGGACTGGCACAAATAATAAATTATATAAAAACATTGAACCTAACTGTGTATTACCTAGTCCGAGTGAAGCATGAACACGTTAAGCAATTAATTATTATAAAAAAACAAAGAGGAAGAAGGGAATAGGCTCCACATAATTTAAGCTATACATATGTATGATTTTTTGTATGCATGTATGTATGTAAATATACATATTGAATGAAATGCCAATGTCAATGAAGCAATACGAGAATGAATATGAGTACCACCTCCATCCAATAGTATACGCAAAGTATTTATAAGTATTTACATTCATATACATATATGCAACTATCTATGTACATATCTCTATTGAATTTGAACTCATGATTACTTTAGATGAGGATGCGGAAATATAAATGCAAAGCCGAAATGCGAAAATGTTCAAATAATCCTATCAAAAAAAAAAAAATCACTTAGCATTTGAAAGGAGTTACTAGTGAAGTAGAAATGTAATAGCTTGAAATCAACTATATATGTATGTACATGTATTTTTTATATGATAAGAGAGTTAAATAGACATATGCATAAATGCGTACATGAAAATTTATATATACACACTTATGTATGTAGTATATGCAAATATCAAATTTACAGGTAATAATTGCTATTTGATATAGCATTTGCTTAGAGAGAGAGAGCTCTAAAATAAATTTAAACTAATCGTATAGATAAGATTTAAAAACTACAATTTAGGTAATAAATTCAAGTCTTTAAATAAAAAATGTAAACCAGTGATGGGCGAGCGAAATTGTATACATTTGAATGGATATTCGAAATTGCGCTCTTCAAAAATACTAAAGTAAAAGTAACTAACGTCTAGGTATTTAAGTATTTTGAATGTCATTACATACAGAGTATGAATGTATTTATGTATCTACAAACATACATACGTATTCACTTCATACTTCTGCAAGCTAAATACTTAAAGTAAATGTATTTACTTATTTTCACGGCACTAAATAAAATGTCAACGGCGGTATCTTTGGTGTAGTGGTTAGCAGTGCGCACTACCATTCCGCAGAGCTTCATCTGCCTCGGGAGACACGCACAACACTCGCACAACTTCGCTCCGGCTACTGCAGCAGGTTGAACAACTCCTACTTGAGTAGGTTGAAGGTAGGTTGTGCCGAATGAGTGTCCGGCATGCGGAGAGACCCCACATGACTCGAAACATCTCTTCGCATGCCCGGAAAACCCGACAACCCTAACGGCCTTGCCCCTGTGGACAAACCCCACAGAAGCTGCACGCTTCCTAGGGTTGCCGTTAGTGGAACTTGATGACAACGACTGAGATACCAACCGATCTTGGCGGGGTTGTTGTAGCCGCTACAACAACAACAACAACAACAACAACAACCATTCCACAGGGCTTGGGTTCGAGCCCAGTTTCCGACCAGCATCAAACAAAAACAAAAAATAAAAACACAGAAAAAGTAGTTTCTAATAGCGGTCGCCCCTCGGCAGGCAATGGTAAACCTCCGAGTATTCTGCCATGAAAAACAGCAAACATAACATAAAAATACAACGCCGTTCGGAGTCGGCGTAAAACTGTAGTTCCCCCTCCCCTTTGGTGAGAACATCAAGGTGCCCGACACAAATGGGAGGAGAAGCCCGGCCAAACGCTAACATATTGTGTAAGCGCCAATCGATTCTTATGCCATTAAAAATTATACGTGGAAACCAGGGACCGCGAGAAAAAAAAAAATATAATCGATTAAAAGTGTTGTTCTCGTAGTTTTAATTTGTAGTATTCCCATCACTGATTTCGATAACAGGTATAAATCAAACCGAAGACATGGTTGTGTCAGGCATTTCCCAGTTATTGGAATTCTTGAACGTACTTTAACAGTAAAGTCCGTATCTACAATGATGATTTAACTCACTAAGAGATAATAAGGGGA